AAATAAAAATTGCTCAAATGCTATGCCTGGTTGTGGTTTTAAGTGAAACATCTGGGCTCATTCAAATCACCCTTCCTTTTGATGTGACTTTCTTTGCCATGACTCACAAAGGCAGGAGGTTTTGTCAGGTGGCTTTTCCCAGGAGTTACTGGGAAAAAAGGGAATTCTTCCTCCAGAGACTATGTTTCTGGGCTCTTCAAAGCTTTCAGGAAGAAACAGGGGCACTTCATGTTATTCTCTTCAACCTGTTCTGGGCTACTGATAGCTTTGACAAGAAAAGTCTCTGGAACTTCTTTTGACAAGGGAGCCCAGAGGATGGTCACCCAGGGGCCGTTGGAGTGGATAGAAACGTGGAAGCCTGGGGAAGACCTGGTTGCCATCTTTAAAACTGTTCGAGGGAAACAGGCTCAGTCGGACTGGCTGCGGAGTGTGGAATAGAGGGTATCAGAATGGAGGGGGAGAATTCGCTTCAGCAAAGTTGATGGACAGTCCCTACTTCAGGTCTCAGCTCAAAGATCACTTCCTTGGAGCGACTTTCTCTGCCACCCAAACTCAAGTAGCTCTCCCTCCCTTGATTTGCTTAATCATGTTACTCTGTTATTTCCTCAAAACAGTTCTGAGACAATGAGATTTCTTGTTTATTTATTTTTATTGTTCTCCCCAATGGAAAGTAAGCTCCATGGTGACAGGGACTCTGTCTGCTTTGTTCACCCACTCATCTCCAGGTCAGGGCTGGCTACACAATTTGTGGGACCTAGTACAAAACAAAAATATAGGGTGCCTTGTTCAAAAAAAGAAGGAGAAAAAGTGCTGCTAAAGGCACTAAAGTGTGATATTTTCCTTTCTTGAATGGTCTCTCTCTCAACTTGCCATTGTGTTTCTTTATTTGCCATTTAATGACATTCTAAGTTAAAAAATGGAAATATAAAATTATTAGCATGGTTTACTGTTTATCTTTACAGTGTGTAATGTCAGTTTTAAATGCAAATATAACAGCATTTAACTCTTACACAAAAATCCTTAAAATTTCTCTGCAACCTCTGTTGCTTTTTGACTTTTTAATAATAGCCATTCTGACTGGTGTGAGATGGTATCTCACTGTGGTTTTGATTTGTATTTCTCTAATGATTAGTGATGATGAGCATTTTTTTCATATATTTGTTGGCCACAAGTATTTCTTCTTTTGCGAAGTTTCTGTTTATGCCCTTTGCCCATTTTTAAAATTGGGTCCTGGAGAAGAGGGAACACTTACACACTGCTGGTGGGAATCTAAATTACTTCAGCCACTGTGGAAAGCAGTGTGGAGATTCCTCAAATCATTTAAAAACTAACATTTGACCCAGCAATCCAACTACTGGGTATATACCCAAAGGAAAATAGATTGTTCTACCAAAATGACACATGCACTCATATGTTCATTGCAACAATATTCACAATAGCAAAGACATGAAATCAACCTAGATGCCCATCAGTGGTGGACTGGATAAAGAAAATGTGGTTCATGTACACCATGGAATGCTACGCAGCCATAAGAAAGGCATGAAATTATGTCCTTTACAGCAACATGGATGCATCTGGAGGCCATTATCCTAAGTGAACTACTGCAGAAACAGAAAACCAATACTGCATGTTCTCTCTTTTAAGTGGGAGCTAAACATATCTATCAGGTACTATGCTGTCTGCCTGGGTGATGGGATCATTCGTACACCAAGCCTCAGTGACATTCAATTTATCCATGTAACAAACCTGCACATGCACTCCCTGAATCTCAAAAAAGTTGAGAGAAAAAACAAAATAAAACAAAACAATTACCAAAATTACACAATTAATATTTGTAGCTCAAAAATGCATAAATATTTCACTCTTACTAGAACAGTGGAAATGCTACATGAAACTCAACAGTTTTTAATTCACAGCTTGATACATTCTACCAACACTCTTTACCTTCAGCTTACTGATGGGTAAGGAAAACTTGAAAGGAAAAGAAACTGTTGTCTTAACATTTCCTCTCGTTCTAGCATTTCAGCATTAAAGTAGTTGGCTGATACAGGGAAACAACATGAATAAGAAAGAATGCAATAGGGTTCCTTGATTCTTGTTCTCTTTCAAACAAAAAGCATGGCCTCTAGGATGTCAGCACCTGCCTCCTCCCCACCTTTCTCAGTGGTAGCCCTAATACAATTGCCTTATACTTGCTTTTAGTCTCACTGAATGCTTGAATATTGTTGGCCACCAAATTCTGTGCTCATGGGGTGTCATCACAAATGCTATATGTGAATGGGAAGGCACTGTGGACATTTCCTCTGCTCATGTGCATGCTCCCTCATCCCATTAGACTTTCTTACAAAACACGAGTTCCATGAAATGATTCAGAATTGCAAGATAGTGGTAGCGGTGCATTAAACCAAATGTGGGACCATTTGACTGTGCAAGTCTGTGCCCATGAAGCCAGCCTTGATCCATTTTCCACCACAATGTAGTTAATAAAGAGCACACCGAGCACAGAGGATGCGCACATGCATTCTTGCTGAATGATGAATGACTGAACAATTCAGAACTGTTGACCAATGAACTGAACTGCGGCCATAAGTGACCTCATGGCCCAGAAAGAGGAAGACAAAGACAAAGGTAGAGAGGGTGACTCCAGCTTCAGTTTCCAATACTGTTCCTGTTCCTCAGCCTACCTGTATCTCCTAACCTTGAGTTCAATGAAATATTATTATTCCCTACAACATATCTCCCCTGATTTGTCTGTGTAGGTTTTTATAGTATCTTGACAAAGAAATTCATTTTGTGCCATGGCCCATCCATGACCCTCTCCAGACATACCCAGCTATATGATCTTCTGAACGTGTCATGATTTTCACACTGGCATGCCTTTGACCAACAGAGCCATTGTTCTCTCAATGAGTATGCCCCCTTCTTTTCTTTTCCTCTCTTTTCTTTTTTCTCCTCCCTCCTTTCTTTCCTTCTTTCCTTCCTTCCTTCCTCCCTCCCTCCCTCCCTCTCTCTTCTTCTCCTTCATGATGGAGTTTTGCTCTCGTCACCCAGGTTGGAGAGCAATGGTGCGATCTTGGCTCACTGCAACCTCAGCCTCCTGGGTTCAATCTCTTCTCCTGCCTCAGCCTCCCGAGTAGCTGGGATTACAGGCACCCATGACCAGTTTCTCTTTTCTAATAGGCCAACTCCTCTCCTTTCTTCAAGATCAGCTTTCCTGTGATATCTTCTTCAGTTCTCACTTGAGATAGTCACTCAGATGTCATTGTATTGAGGTAGATGCTGACATTTGTGTCCCTGAGATCTCCTTGGGGTTGGGGTAAAGTAGTATTCTCTTTTGTGTTTCTCTTGCCCAGAACCTCAGTTAGTGCTTGATACTTAAGATTCTCACTGTTGCATGAGACTTCATTGTTGATTTACCAAATTACCATATATGGCTATGCCTGGGGGACATTATGCTAGGACTATCTTCAGAATACCTCAGTTGCAAGTTGTTTACCACTTCCCAGTCCTTATTTCTTGTGTTCAAAGACGATTTTTCATTGAAACCTCTTCTAGCTGATTATAGGAATTATTTAAGTTAGTGGTAGTAGAAAGAAGTGTGGACAATAAAAAGAAGCATATTGAAATGGGCTTAGATTAAAGCCGTCCAAAAGACTATCTGTGCTCAGCTGTGCCTAGAGTACTTTTGGAACAATCTATTTATGAAATGATAGACCACAGATCAATGACGATGACACCCACATTCATTCTTGAAAAATATGACTCAGTTGTACGTCGTGCACATACACAGGAGCAGGAATAGATCACAGATCACTGATTGTGACACCCACATTCATTCTTGAAAAGTATGACTCAGCCGTAAGTAGTACACATACACAGGAGCAGGAATCTGAGGGGAAGAAATATCTATCCAGTGCAGATGCCATTCACAGAGATCCCCAGACAGTCTCCTAAGCAGCCTGAATTGTTCTTCTTGTCTGGTCTGCATCCCACTGGGAAACAGTCCAAGATGTTAAATATTTTCACTGAATATGGTGGTCTACCTCCTTTGGCATGAGGTTTTGGAGGGGTCTCTTCCAGTGGGACATTGTTTATCATTTATTTCTCATCTGTACTGAGAATTATAGAATGAATCCTGCTTTCATTCAGGTTACAGATTTGTTAAAATAATTATCTGAAATATAGCAGATATTGTCATGATTTTGCCAAAACAAAACAAAAACAAAAAAAGTGTTACAAGATAGACATGCTTAATGAATAAATAACACATTTTTCAGGACTTGTTTTCTCATTGTTATCAAGAGTTGGCCATGAGGAATAGGATATTAGGTCATATGCAGACTAGGAAGTGGAAAAGGCCAAAAGATAAAAATTCTACAGGAGACAGAGAAAGCCCTGACACGTCTATCTTTTTTGCTTGCTTCACACATGAAATGACTCCCTGCTGAATGGAAAGACAGACAGGTGGGACTGGCTTTCATTCAAATGATGGGTGGAAGTGCCGCTGCCGTGTCTGAAGGTTTAAAAAGTTCTAATGTTCAGATGAAGAGAGAAGATAGAATAACATTCTCCTTCCCTCATATGCAATGCAGTGGGAAAATCAGTCCCACTCTTTTATTTATGTGGTCAAAATGTAAGTATAAAAATTATTACCCATGTTGTGAGTCAATCTAATTGCTGGATCATCTTTCATTAGCTCTGGACGTTTAGCTCTCTGTGATATGACTGTGTCTCTCTGACCAAATAAGTCTGTGTCAAATAATGGTTAAAATTTCCACTGATCCCCAAAAGTCTGAGCACCAGCTGGATACAGATGATTGCCAACACCAGCAGTCATGTGGAACTCACTAATTAGGTATATTCATCCTGGGCATACAGACATGCCATGTCAAAGGGGTGGCTGTACCTACCTCACGATGCCTTCGGCATGCAATAACTTCATTGCTTTACAAAAAAAAAAGGAAAAGAAAAGACTTGGCTGAAAGCAAGATTGCTTTTCGGAAGGGAAACTCTTTTCCCAGGGTGCACTGTGCAGACAAAACTTACTACATCCCTTCTGAAAATGTGTCTGGAGCAGTCTTCCAAGATGATTAATAGAGCAAGTATTTCTCACAAGGGTTTGACCTTTGAAAGCACAGACAGACAAAAGGCGTAAATGGTCAGAGAGGGATGGAGAGCGTCAGGCTCACGAGACACCCGTGCCCACACATTCACCTCTCATCAGGGCCTGGAACACACCATGCTGCCCCTTGGAGAAAGCCCTTTAGGACCATGATACCTTTGAAAGGTTTTTGTGTCATTGTAAACATCTTTACCTTGAAGATTTTCTTTCAAATGATGGAACTGCCAGTTGGTGTATCGTAGGTGCAGAGACTACAAAAAAAAAAAAAAAAAATTAGATGATTCCCACACCAAGTGTTCAGCTCAGAGTCATGGGCCACACATTTAGACACAAGTTCTTTATTTTTTTTATTTTAAGTTCCAGGGCACATGTGCAGGATGTACAACCTTGTTACATAGGTAAATGTGTGCCATAGTGGTTTCCTGCACCTATCAACCCATCACCTAGGTATTAAGCCAGGCATGAATTAGTTATTTTTCCTGATGCTCTCTCCCCACAACCACTCCCCATTTACAGGCCTCTGTGTGTTGTTCCCCTCCCTATGCCCATGTGGTCTCACTGTAGAAACAAATTCTTGAATGCAATGTGTGTGTTTCACTGAAGAGGGGAGGAAAGGAAGGTAGATATTTTGGGAAAAGAAAACCAATATTTTTAAGGACCTAATGCTAAATATTTATAGCAACTCTGTAAAACAAATGTTTATGTTCCCATTTGACAGACAGATGAACTAGAACTTGAAGAACTTGTTAAAGTCATACAGGTCAAAAGTGGTGGCAAGGTGGGTATTTAGCTCCATTTAGGCCTAATTCTAAACCTCATTCTTGTTTCACTATCCCAAGCTATCTAAAGCTGATGGGCGGAGGGTTAAGTGGACAGGTCTTGGCAAAAAGTCATCTGCCTAAAAATAAAGCACATTTCTGAGTTCTCTGACATGGCACGCTGAGGGCCCTTGCTGAGTTGGTAAGTTTAAGCAATGATGAATTTTATTGTACCAAATGGGGAAATGCTTTTTAAATATCCTACTTCTGTTCTTATCCCTTGACTTTGCAGTAATTTTCATTCATTTATACTTGACTGACTCATTGACTTAAAAATGTTATTGAGTCACTACTGTATGCCAGGTACTGTGCGAGGCAATTGGTGTGCAGTGGTCATCTTAGCCTGAGTTTCCCCTAAAACTGAGCCTGAGGTTAAGGCTTGCATGCAGATGGTTTATTTGGGAAGTAAACTTGGAGAGAAGAAGTGAGGGGCCAGGGAGAGTGAAACAGGAAGGGAGAAGCCAATACAAGGATACATTACAGAGGTGGCCACCAGTCTGGGTGGCTGGTGCTCAGTCCTGCTGGTACCTTTCAAAAGGTGCATAAAAGGGATTGGAGGAAGAAGCATTTATTCATTGGCTTCTGGCCTGCTTTTATTGGAAGTTACCCCACACAGCATTAACATTTGCACAATTCTGGGTTGCACATGTATGAATGTCAAGCAGGCACCTGCAGGCACCCCACCCAGGGAAGTCAGGGAAGCTGTTGGGGAGGAAGCAGAGGTACGTGGTGCAAGCTTCAGGTGTTCTCTTTCAATGCAGAGCAGTATGAAGCTTCCTGGAAGTCCTTGCCAGGGCCACAAGCTGAGGCTGAGTGGATATGAGGTAGTGAACAAGATGTCCGATGCAGTGAGCTAAATGGATACAGTCCTTATTCTCAATGAAAAGCCTACAGTTTAGTAAGAGAGATGCTTATTAAATACATTAACCAACTACATAATTACAAATTTTAAGAGGCATCATGAAGGAAAATGGCAGGTGCCAGGGGGGAGAATAACAGGCAAGCCTACCTTAAATTGGGATGACAAGAGTGCCTTCTCTGGGGGAATGACATTTAGGCTGACACCTGCAGAATGAGATGGTTGGGACAAAGTGGTAGGGAAGGACATCACAGAGAGAACAATCTGTGCAAAAACTGGAGGCAGAGTAGGTCTTGGTGAGCTGTAGAAACAGAAAGACCCCAACATGACTCAGCAGAGAGAAGTTGGGAAGAGAGGAGTGAGACATGCCTAGAGAAGTAGGCGGTTGAGTTCTGGATTTTAAAGCCAGTAGAGGTATTTTAAAATATTTGAAAACCCTCTTTGTTTTTTACAAAAAAACAAAGTTGTACTCTGCAGTAGAGAAAGCAGAGAAGCTTTTCCAAAGTAGTTGCAGTAGTCTAGGGAAGGAATGTTGGTGGCTTGGACTAGTGACTGGTGACACTTGTGACAGTGGAGATGACAAAAACTGGGCAGATTAAAGAGCTATTTTCCCCTCAAGAAAATGTGGTGGCAGATCAGATATGAGGGCAAGGATGATGGGGGAATTATGTGTTGAGTATTTACTCACCCACTCAACAAATATGTATGAAGTGCTTACTATAAGGAGGACAGTCTGTTACACAGAGGAATCCCAAGATTGATAAGACTCCAGTTTGGCCTTTGAGTGACTCACAGTTCAGTAAGGAAGATGAAGATGTAGACAGACAATTCCAGTAGAGTTGCTATGATAGCTGCACATTCCAGATCTCATTAAAAACTAGCACAATCAACGTTACGTCCACCAACGCAGATGATCATAAATGCATTCTGCTTGTGTGGCTCTAGAAGACCACTTACCAGTTGCCCAGAATAGTTCAGGAAATTAATTCAGAATGGAATCAATTCTCCGTGGGTTATTTTATCTTCACTCGTTAATAATGAGCCTCTCAGCCATAGAATTATGAAGTTTGGTCCAGGGCATTTGATCTTGGGAACGGGAGGGCTAAACAGATCATAGTTATCCAGGAATAATAAAGCAGAGTTAGTCCCCATGAGGAAGTGTCCCTGGCATAATATCTTTGTAATTTCTCTTCTGTCTTCTTTAAAGCCCCTGAAGTCATTATATGCCACTAACAGTGCCATCTTCCCAGCTGGTATTCATAGAGTTATTAGCCAATCTTTCTAGGTTGCATTATGAAGATGATCTTTACAAGGTCAAAGGACTTTCCCCAAACTCTACTGGGTTTGAGTCCCTAAGTCATAACTATTTCCTGGAAGATACCTCAACCTGCTACAGAATTTGCATTTTAACTCGATAAGATATCATCTAGCACCAAAACCGTTACATGCATGCCATTTTTTCAGCCACTATGGGCTAAAATGCAGAAATAGTTTTCCCCAGAGGAAAAAGGAACAGATTGTTCACCACCATTAAGAATGGGGAAAGGCTGGGCATGGTGGCTCACACCTGTAATCCCAGCACTATGGGAGGCTGAGGCAGGTGGATCACCTGAGGTCAGGAATTTGAGACCAGCCTGGTCAACATGGCGAAACCCCGTGTCTACTAAAAATACAAAAATTAGCTGGGTGTAGTGATGCGTGCCTGTAATCCCAGTTACTCGGGAGGCTGAGGTAGAAGAATCACTTGAACCCAGGAAGTGGAGGTTGCAATGAGGCAAGATCACACCATTGCACTGCATCCTCAAAAAAAAAAAAAAAAAAAAAAAAAAAAGAATGGTCACTGCATGGTGTTCCAATAGCTGAGAGCCTAACATTGTGCATTGTTTCTCATTCTGGCTGGTAAGCCAAGGGAAAACTGTGTATTAACTTCTCTTTCTGAGACAAATAGCATTTTAGTGAATCAGGGATGATGGTAGCAACACTAAGTAAACTGTGCCTGTAATTCTAAGTGTTGACTCTCCTTCTAAGTTATTATGTTATTTACTTCCATTCAGTATCCTAAAATTAAGCTATATTCACTTGATATCTATCAGATTGAATGATAATCTTAATGACAGTCCCAAGGTTTGAAAATGCAAAGATAAATGGTTTTCTCATGATTTCTGGAATTAATTTTTCTTCTGTGTTCTAACAAAACAATATTGTTGGTTTTCAGTCCACTGTTCACAAATGTATTTAGTATTTTTATCTAAAGATATCACATGAGAAGCAAGGCTTGACTCAAACTGTTCAACTGGTGCTGATGCTTAGTGAGGACAAATTTTAAGAAAAAGAAAGAAAAGCAGTAGAGAGGGGATGAAGATGTAGGCTTTCCCCTCATTGATCTTGCCCGGGGCCCCATCCCATGCAATTGACTCCTATATATAGCCCTGATGTGGTCTAGATATGTTCAATCTAGAGCTTTCCATCATCCAGGGGCAGAATTTGGTTGAGAAATGAGAAACTGGGCAGATTAAAGAGCTATTTTTCCCTCAAGAAAATGGGGTGGCAGATCAGATATGTGGACAAGGATGATGGGGGAATTACATCTTGACTATTTACTCACCCCCTCAACAAATATGTATGAAGTGTTTACTATGAGGAGGACAGTCTGCTACACAGAAGAATGTGACCCTTGTGAGGTTAATCAGATATTATCTCCATGGGTCTTGCTGGGACCTTTAAGAAAAGTATTTTCTCTGTTCCTGTGTTAGTTTGCTAAGGATAACGGCCTTCAGCTCCATCCATGTTCCTGCAAAGGACATGATCTCATTCTTTTTTATGGCTGCATAGTATTCCATGGTGTATATTACCACATTTTCTATATTCAGTCTATCCTTGATGGGTATTTAGGTTGATTCCATGTCTTTACTATTGTGAATAGTGCTGCAGTGAATATACATATGCATGCGTCTGTCTTTACAGTAAAATGATTTACATTCCTTTGGGTATATACCAAGTAATGGGATTGATGGGTTGAATGGTACTTCTGTCTTCAGGTCTTTGAGGAACTGCATGCTTGCACTTATAAGTGCAAGTTAAATGATGAGAACACATAGACAAATAGAGGGGAACAACACACACTGGGTTCTTTTGGAGGGTGAAGGGTGAGAGGAGGAAGAGGATCACAAAAAATAACTGATGTGTACTATGTACAAGTCTTAATGCCTGGGTGATTAAATAATCTGTACAACAAATGTCCACGACACCAGTTTACCTGTGTAACGAACCTGCACTTTCACCCCGAACTTAAAATAAAAGTTAAATAAAAAAGAGATAGAGTGGGAAAAAAAGTACTTTATCTTTCTTGTTGATCTCAATCTGTGAGGAAGGTTGGCTTAGATACGTCAGTGCTCTCTTGCTGAGAGAGAGGAGAGATTTGAGACCTGAAGTCGATAGCTGAAACTCTGGAAACAGTAGATGTCAACTGAGGAGTCCTAACAACCGTATGGTGTTCTTTGTTCATTGCATTTCAGTAAGAATGCACTGTTAGTTCAAACTGGTAATGAAGACAGTACCTTCCACATGGAGGAAG